ACCACCCTCAGCAGACTTGTCCCACCTAATCTGATTTGCTAATGATCATGTAAAGTTCATGATGCTCCACTGGGCAACATACACTTCCTTAAAAACACTAAGACAATCTGGAAATTGCTCCTTCCTATGTCTGAAAGCTTTGTACCCACTGCTGGCTTTTCCCATTTCCAAGGATGATGTGCTCCCCCCAGTCAGCTCAGCTTCCAAGCCCTAAATGCCTCCCATCAATGAAGGCAAAGAAATCCCAATCTCAGTAGATCTGTTCCTGTTTTCCTTCTCAATATAAATAGCTTCAGGGAAGCTTGCATGACTCCATTCATCCACAGGTGTCCTCCTGGGGTAGGTTACAGCCACTGGACTAAGGCCGTCACTCCACACTTGGTTTAGCCAGTGACCACATCTCATGTAAGAGTATGGAGCAGGGGGAATCCAAGATGCAGTCTGGACAGGGAGACTAAGAAACCACCACAGCAGCTACACATGAACACTAGCCAGGGCACCGTGAAAGGGACAGACATGTGCAGATCAACAACAGGATATCATGGTATTTCCCAGATACACCTAAAGCCCGTGTGATAGGATTACACTCATTCCCCTCTCTGGTTTCAGACAATCTGCACAAGCCAATCACGTTTGATGAAGGGCCTCAGTACTAAAGGTAACAAACACTTTTTCAGTGGCTGTAATTTACTGCACCCATAGGAATCAGCAAAAACTGCTTATGAATGTGCAGCTGTAAGAACCACTGTAAGAACTAATGATGGTGGATGTTTCTTTGGAACACCTGAGAGCAAGAGAGTACAAAACCCAAAAATAATTTAGTAAATTCACATCTGTGCTACCTTGCAGGATATCCCAGTAATAATCTTCTTAGAAAATAGTACTTATTTCCCCAAAACTCCCAGCCTACAGAGGTAGACAGCTTCCTCCTTCCTATGTGTATATACAAACACACATAGACACATACATGTACCAATTTAAACTTGCAGACACCAGTTTTCCAGGTTTTTAAAGTATTGTTATATTGAATTAACTGTAAATTTGTATTTAGTGGAAGCAACTTCAGCCATTACATCACAAATTTTAACTCACGTCATTTAAATATTAAGCTTTTGAAGGTACTCCTTAAACCCTCTAAATGGTTTTAACTGACCCCAGTTCTCACACAAATTTCTGCCACTGCTGCAGCCAGTTGTACTTAACTCTCCATGTAAGCACACACATATTCTGGCACATCGCCATGAACTCAGAAGTGAATGGAAAACTCACTCCTGAATCATTTTTCCAGTCTCTCTGAGGTACTTTGTTGTTCTCTGTGGGATATTTTCCAGTGTTTTCCCCAGCCTGCTTTAAAAAGTCAGTGGCAAGCCTTTTTCTTTGTACTTCTATAGACCTGTGGATCTTACCCACTTAAGGGCTTGTCTCCTGTGGACACATTCCAGAACTGCAGCAGAACAGATTAAGAGATATGAACATAAGTTACAACACAGTAATATTCTCTGCCTTGCTGGAATAATGCCTTATGTTGACAACCAGCATAGTTAAAAGTAGGAATTACTTTGGAATTAGAAGTGACTTGGCTTTTGTGGATGACCACGAGGGGGAGTTAACACCTATTTAAGTACAGCTGTAATGAACCAGATCTTCTGGTGTCCATCTATTTTCCTCATCAGACAAACCCTAGGTCTTCTGCCTCCCAATCTGAACTAGTAGTAACATGAGCAGTGTTACTGTTAAACTGCTTTGAGATAAAGATATGGTAGACATCTGCAAATAATGCTAGCTGTTTAGCTAACATACACAAAACTTCACACCACAAAGTCATGTGGTTTTACTTTCCTAAAATCACCACTTGTTGTGTAAACAGAACTAATCCAAATATAAAGTAAAACTCAAGAAGCTAAAACTCAGCCTGCAAAGTTGAAAGCTCAGAATTAAACTAACTAAATAAATATGTGAATGGAGGAGCAACTGGAAATTACATATTTTTTTATTGCAGAAAATAAGATTCCAGAGGGACTATCATCACTAGCCAAAACATCCACAACAGAGGCCCTAAGACTGAGTTAGTCATTTTCCTGCTCTCAGTGGTTCAGTGTTCTGGCTTACAGCACATCATTATGAACTGCTGATACATGAGGCAGAATTGAAAGACCATGTAGGGCAACCGCCACCCGAGATAGTAGCTCCACATCATCCTCTCCTGGAGGATTACCATGAAGACACCATCCAGAAATACCTATTTAACACCTTCCCAGAAAGCAGAAAAACTGTACAGAAGACTTTGGTGCAAGGCACAGCTCTTCTGGCAATACAACACTCCCTGAAGCAGAACACACCTGTAGAGCCTTGAGAGTGGGACATCGTGAGTTACCATGGTTTTGGAGAGTGAGCTTCACCTTGAGGTGAGACTTGTCCCCCTGGCAAATTTTATCCTTTTTGGGAGTAAGCACTCCCCAGAAGTTTTCAAAGGGAATAGGAACACAAAACTGGTGTAACATCAAGGCTCTTTCTGTACAAAATACTTCTGATTTCTTGAAGAAGTCTTTTCCCCTTTGCCTTGAGATTTCACGATTAAGCAGCTTACTCAGAGTTAAAGATACAGTGAGCAAAAATACTGCGGGTATCAGCCTCAAAACCCAGTGAGACCTTACATCCTAAGATGTAAGTCTCATGCCCAGTCTTAAGAACAGGCCGTAGGGAGGGGAGGAGAGGGGAAAGAGCAAGATAGAAGTAAAAACCAAAGCCTTTAAGCATTCCTACTGAGGATCAAAAGAAAGTTTTAGCCCATGTACTGTTAAAATTTTGAACTGCTAATTACAGAAAAATTCAAGCTCTTGAAACAACAGAAGTCTCCTCCACATCCCAACCCACTGCCTCCTTATGGCTGCAAAGTGAAATTAAACACCAATTAAACAGTCAGTAACTCCTCTCCTCCTGTTGCAACATCAACAACAGTCCCCTGAAAAGTAGAACACTGTGAAAATCCTGAGAAGGTCCTCTGTTGCAATCAACTACGGACAAACTATACTGGTGCTGTTACTGAGACCATGTAGAATCACACCAAAACATGTTAAGTGGTATTGGCACACACTGGTCTCTCAGAAAAAAGGCCCAGCAATGAACCACCATAAGCTCACCATCTTCATTCTGAATCTAACCACTAGCAACAGATTCGACACCAGCTACAAACAGAATGGGAGGAAACTTCCTCACCCTCTCACCAGGAAAGCAGTTGTCTTAAAAATTCACTTTGACCAGACAGTCCATCAGCACTACTGGATCACAAATAAAGGCAAGCAGAACACTACACATTAGGCAGTTTAGAAATGTCTGCACAGCACTACAGTACTGAGGAATATCAAATTAGAGGCCAGGTAGCAGCAGTGACAGGAAGGAAACAAAACAGGGTAGGGAAATCAAATGCTAATAGACACTGTTGTTCTCCATAGCCACCCAGTCAGTTGGCTAAGTAGTGATCAACCACTGCAGTAGTCAGAGGTGGTTATAAGGCTGATAAGATGGAAAAGAGGGAAAACAACAAAACTTCTCACTACCACACATTTTTTTATTAAGTAGCTATATAAGGAGAGGTGAGCCATGAACCCTTTCCAGAAGGAACTCCCTCTGCACATGCACTAGGCACGAGTTACTGACAGTTCAGAAAAGTCAGTCACAGCAACCTAATAAAAATGGCTCTGTGGTCTCTCTGTCCTAACAACACCATGACTGGAAGGCACAAACACTGACAAACGCTGGCTCAACGGCTGCAAGTAAGACACACCAAGTAAGAAGCAGCAGCACACCTGAGGAGATAAAGTGGTAGACACTGCAGGAAGCATTCCTGACAAATGACGACTAGAGAAGGCACAGCACAGTTCACAACTGAAGCCTACAGCCTGACTTCAATTTAAAAGCCCACAGTTCGTCAGTTGCTTGCATACAGATGGCTTAACACTCAGTACCAGAATTTCCCACACATCTACACCGGGCTGACAAAACCAATGCAAGACCAAAGTCTGTGCCATTCCAGGCTGGCAGCTGGAGGCCAAACAGGGAATCCTGATTATCCCAAGCAACACTAAAAACATGTTTTGGCAACTGAACCAAGCTCCTCCTCCAAACTCAGTAAAGAGTATGCAAATAATATTTTAGTAATAGTAACCACCTTCAATACCACCTATATATTTTTTTAAAAAAACAGAAACCTAATTTCAAGTCACTTGTGTTTCACTTTCTACACAGCAGAAGACACTGAGCTTTTCAAGACCTATGTTAAGATTTTTCCCCTCCTCTTACCACTGAAAAAGCCATTATTAAAACAGGTTTAAAACTTGTTTTACAAGCCTCTCACCCAGAGAGGCTCTCGCCCTTTACAGGTATTGCTATCGGCAAAGCCTTTCCACAAGGCAGCATATTCTCAAGGGAGTCACACAGTTCAGGTAAGAAAAGTGCTTATTTTGAGTTAGAATAAAAAAAAAGAGCAAAGTTGCTCTTTCAGTCAGAAGCTTCAGCATCCTGTTAGAATGCAAAACCTGTAATGGAGAATAGGACTGAGAATAAGTTGGTGCCTCTCCTTAGTAGATATAAGCTGAGAGAGGTGCAATGAGCAACTTCTAAATACGATTTTTGCGCTGAGCTCAGGCAGGCCAGGATATCATTAGCCATTTCCCCAGAGCATTTCAACAGTTGCTCTGTATAACAGTAAGGTGCCTGGGCTTATGTGATCAGCTGTGCCAAAATGCTCTGAATAGCCCCATTGCTATGCTACACCCCTTCCTCTTCCACTCTAATACAAGGCGGGGTGAGGGAAGGAAGTCTGTAGATCCCTTACACAGATCTTATACAATCAAGAAGCCTAAGCACACTCTGAAACACTTTAAGAAATATCTAGTCACTAAACACTATTTCCTTTGTCACTAAGCGCAACAGGTATCCCAAATAACTTCCTAATGACAAAAAGAATTGTTACATACTACAGTACGAGGGAGAAAACTTACCTCCATTTTGCGAGCAGCTGTGTCCTGATCATAGTGTCCCATGATGTTTGGGAAAAAAGTCATATTGTAAGGCATTCCTGAACATCTGGAGATAGTAATTGGCTCACATGTAAATAAACTGTGCCCTTGCACCAGGGCTAGAAGTAAACTGCAAGTCGCAGAGAACACAAGTGCTCCCATTTTGTCAGGATCTCCAATTTCAGCACATCGCTTTGCTCAGTGGTTAGACAGCCCAGCTTTGCACAAGGATAAAAACACACATCTTCCTCTGCTGGCTCCAGCGCACGGCAGTAAGGCACGCTCTCAGACTCCTCACAGGTGCTTTAGGTGTTGCCCCATTTTGGTTGACCGCGATTTTACTAAATCCCTTCTTCTTCGAGCCTGTACGTGCAAAGACGGGGCAGAGCAGTGAACAGCAGTGAAACAACCTGAGGACGACCGCCCTGGCTCCCCGCTGTCCCGCAGCGAGAGGGCAGCTCGGGCCGGGCCGGTGCCCCCGCGACCCTGCCGGGCCTCACACCCCCCGGGGCCGCGGCTCGGCACAGCCCCCGCTCCCGCCGGGCCCCGGAGCCACCGCCGCTCCCAACGTCCCGTTCCCAGCCCCTCCCTGGGAAGCGGCGCCCGCGGGCCCAGCGGAGCAGGGCTCGCCGGGTGCGGCCCCGGCGCCGCATCCCCGCCACGCCCGGGCCGCGCCCCCGCCACCCCCTCACCGGGATCCGCCTCCCGGCGGCCACCCCGCGGCGCCGCTCCGGGTCGGGGCCGCCGCTCTCCGGGACGGGCCGGGCCCGGCGCGGTGCCCGCCGCACTCACCGGCAGCAGCCCCTCCGCGATGGCCGCCCCGCGGCACCTGCAGGATGTGGCGTCTGGCGGGCGGGGCGGGGCGGCCGCACCTTCCCGCCCCGGCGGGGCCGGCACCGGTGGCGGCGGGCGGGGCCCGCCCGGGCTGCGCGGGGCCGTGGGGCCCAGAGACCCGCCCGGGCTCTGCTGCCGCGGACTCGGGGCGGTCCGTGCCCCCTCCGGTGGAGCTCCGGCTGGGAAGGGCCCCGGGACTGTAGCACAGACACAAACGGCGCGAAAAGCCCCTCGAACAGACCCGGCACTTGGGTTCTCGTGAACATCCCGGTATTAGACTCTGCGGTGCACTGTATAAATGCTGAGGCAGTTTACAGACTTTCAAGTGTTGGGACATGAGCGTGTCCTGCCGGTGGAAGTGATCCCGAAGATTGTTTCCAAACGCCCCGGGGCCGCTGCCACGCGGGGGAAGCGAGGGTTCCATGGCAGAGGGCAGCCAGCCCTGCTCTGCCACCTTCACTGCCACCCTCAGTGCCACCTGCACTGCCACCCTCAGTGCCACCCGCACTGCCACCCTCACTGCCACCCTCACTGCCACCCTCAGTGCCACCCTCACTGCCACCCTCACTGCCACCCTCAGTGCCCCCTTCACTGCCACCCTCAGTGCCACCTGCACTGCCACCTGCACTGCCACCCTCACTGCCACCCTCAGTGCCACGTTCACTGCCACCCTCAGTGCCACCTGCACTGCCACCCTCACTGCCACCCTCAGTGCCACCTTCACTGCCACCCTCACTGCCACCTGCACTGCTACCCTCACTGCCACCCTCAGTGCCACGTTCACTGCCACTCGCACTGCCACCATCCTGCAAAAGGTCCAAATCCTCAGATGACGGGGTGTGGGCACTCAGTAGATGAGGCTACAACTGAGGAAGAGATTAATGTTGGAAATCGATGTTTAATGATTGAATTTAATGAAGGACAGGGAAGTGATCTGAAGTATTTGCTGAGGAAAGGGAAGCTGTGGTGAGAACAAAAGGAAATGATTGTTACACTAGAGAGGAGCACTGTGGTGACTCTGGTGCTCAGGCTACTACCATCTTCCAGAGACCTGTGAACTGTCCTCCCACTGCACCTACACCTGCTGGCTGAGACCACGCACACCAGACTGTCCAGTAGCATTCAGCCATGTTCACAAACACTGACCTGAGATAATGAGACCTAACTATCTATAGAAATGCTGAAGGTTACTAAGCAGAGGTGAACAAATTTCTCAGCACAGAGCCACCCAAAGTCTCATCAGGCTGCTGTTCAGCCATGCAACTTGCTCCACGCTCCAGGACTGGAACAGGAAACACCGGATGCCGAGACATGCAAACCAGATTTAGAAATGATTTGATGACGTTCAGGCAGTGCTGCCTCTCTGCTAATGAGCCATGAGGTAGTCTGTGCGGGCTGGTGCATTTATCCAGAGAATCCATCCATGGATGGTGGAGAGTGTGAAATTGCACATGGTTATTCAGAAGACAACAAGCATCTAGAAGCTCTCTCTTCATGCAGATATTTTATGTGTCATTGCCTGTATCACTCTACAGAAACACAAAGCTCCTTCAGATTCCCGTACCAAAACCATTTTAGCACCTCTGTGAATCATGAGGATGATCATACCTACCTGCTACAGATCCACATAGCCCGACCATTTGAGTAAATGGAGTAACTTGATAGCTGGAATTAAACTTGCAGCAAATGATCTTAAATGAAATGTTATTTGTAGGTTGTGAAAGTTAATGTAGTCTACTATAGGAAGACACTCACCTACATTATCCTTTGTTATCTCTCCATTTCTTATCTTCCAGCTGGCTTTGGTCGTAGTCTCTCTCAGTAGCTCTCTGCTACTCCACTCTGCTTCTGCAGAAACTCTTCTAGGCAAGTTCTTGCTCAGCCCTTGATGAAGTTGCAGAGTTGCTCTCAGCTCTGGGATCACCATCAGACACTCTGAGATCTTGCAGGAACAAAACATGTTCAGTGCGGATTCACTCCAGCAGATTTCTAATGAACTCTCTTTCCCTCCTAGTTCCATTGACTAAGTCAATTTCCATTCCATTTCCATTTCATGGAAATGGCAGCACAACTCTGTAGGGATCTATACCAAGGGAAAAGTCTCTTTTTCCCAGCAGATAGGGTTGACAAATTCTCAGACAAGCTTCTGTTATAATTTTAATATGGGAAAACCTGTCTTGCATGATTTTAATGAAAGCATAATATGAAATTTTAGTGAAACAACCAGACAAAAATCCGAGGTGTGCAAATTTCAACCAAATGACAGGAATTTGTCAAAGTAACAAGCACCTGAAAATAGGGTCTTGTGAGGAGTTTTGCAGCCTTATCTGTGAGCTCTACTAGGACCACACAAATACGGCATGTTAAGGTGAGGGCTTAGTTTGTTCCATCAGAAAGCATTTTCATACATAAATCTCTGAAAAACAGGTATGGCTAAGTAACATTCTTTTCCTTCCGAACAATTTTCATGTTTTTGGTACATGATGGGAAAAGACAGAGAAAAGGAAGCACACTATTAATATACTTTCTTTGCTCACAATCTAGTTGCTAGGCAAGTTTTTCCAGAGGTTGGTTCTCAGAGTCATGATCTAAATACATTTGTTTCTGGCTCTCTTAAAGTCTTGACTAACCAGAGTGGGGAATGTGAGCACTCTCACTGGTATCTAGCAAAGCACCTTTAAGTATGATTAAGTATTTTAAGCATGTGCTCAAATATATTGCTCATTAGGGATGCAACTACTTGGATGTGTAAGTACTTTTCTCACCTGGCACTGGAGATATTGTAAACATCTCAGTTAATGTAATATTAATGTACTGATCTTTCCCTGGCACTGCTTCAAAAGATTATAGTTTAGCAATTTTTATTACAGCGACTTTAAGTGATTTAAAGCCTAGGTCATCTTCAGATCTCTTTCAGCAAATGTAGCAGAAGGGGATTCAGCAGTGCTGGACAGCAGGTCCTTTCTAAGCTCTGCTTGCTCCTACCACCATTGCAATGGATGTGGTGGAACAGGCCATGTGCCATCTTCTCCATGCTCATGGTCCCTCCAACTAGCTTAAACTCACCCTCAGCAGAAACATTCACAGCTTGCCTGCGCTATGAGCTGAAGCACTGTGTTTTCCTTCAAATTTTTGTGGGGACACCCCTCCAGCAAAGGCAAACAGCAATATGACCATGTTTACCTACTGCCTGAACATGATAGTGCCCCATGTACTCATACACTAGGAAGGAGGGATCTGAAATGGTTGGCAGTTGTCAGGAAGAAGCCTTCCTCTGAGACACAAGGAGTATATCTGTGGCTTTAGTGCTTGGAGTCTGCACACGAGCAGTTGTACGCTGGCTTGAGCCTTCTCCTCTTGGCACATCTAAAAGCTTTGTAACTGAGTTACACTGTTGGAACATTGTGCCAAAATTTGATTTAATGTAATTTAAATATTACAGATTTGCCAATTACATAGTTTCATATTGGCTGATTCAGTTGTAAGGCTCATAAAGTTCTTATTATTCTGCATTTAAAACACATTATTCATAATTTGTTGAAATTTAAGCAGATTAAATAGCCGGTAGATGGCACCAATAAATCCTGTTGCAAGGCTTAAAAATGAAAAGTGTAATTTTTGACTTTTTCTCAAATGCATTTTGGAAATGAAAGAAACTAGACTAAACAGTGTTATAATTTATACTGTTTACTTTACAATAATAGTTAGGGAAAGCAATCAGTTTATAAACAGGATGTTTTTCCGAAGTCAAAACTCCACCATTTAATTGAACATATTAAGCCATGAGAAAGAACACACAGATGTGTTACAGTAATTTCCTAGTTTTTTAGAAAATCCAGCCATTGATGAGTTAATGCCTTCTGAGTACTCCTCCAGTCTCATGCAGCTGTGTCAGCTTAAACCTTGTTTCTAACACATTTTTTCCATAGAGCCTTTAAGCTGTAATCCACCCATCTCAACCCACCACAGCAATGAAGCCCGGAGAAGGAATCATATTGAGAAAGCCAGAATGTTGCTGCAATGCCTTGTGCTAACCGCATTACTGGGTTCTTGGAATCCATGTCATCTTCTTCCCTGAACCAAGTATGACCTGTTTAGACTTTAGTCCTTCAAAATATTGTGTCTGTGTGGGTTATGGCACCCACACATAAGATGTTGATTCTTTTATGCTGGAAGCATCTCAACTTTCATTTTCCTGTAAGTGACAACACTGTGCCTTCACAGCATCACTTAATTAAAGCGGTGATTATGCTAATAGTATTTCTTTCCCAACAGGTTACCTCACCTAGCCTTGGATATTAAGCACAATGTAAACTACAAAGGAAACACACTTGTAAACGGTAAACCGTCCTAACAATGGTCAAGGATACTTCATTCCTTGTAGGCTTTTAGCAGCTGCCTTCACTCCTGATAAATCTGCAGCCTATCTGCTTGGGTGGGAGTAACAGTAACAGCTGCAGTGAGTGTTCTTGACAGAGCCATTCTTATCTCCTCATTTCTATGGTTGGAGTGGTACTTGCTTTAGACAATATCAGAAAGGCTGGGGGAAAGAAGATCTGTGTTTCGGGGCATGAGTCATTTCCTATGGAAAAGACTGGTACAAGCCATGCACTCTGTTAGAGTGGACAGGCAAGGTGCAGTTGATGCTGAGAGCAAAGCAGAAAGTCCTGGTTTGGTGGGGTCTGCTGAAGCTTTGGTTTTTGCTCCCTCCAAAACATCAATGCGTTAACTTGAGTTGAACTGTCTGTGTCAATACTGTGTGCAACTAGCAAAGCAGTATTGACTTGACACACATTTCAAATACAGTTTTTTAAGTTGGCAATTCAAGATACTTATTGAAACATGAGGATTCTTGGGACGCAAGAAAACAATAGTTTTGGAAGCTCAGGCACTAACTACTATAAGGTGGTTCATGTCAACCTATTAAAGGCAGACTGAGGAGCATTCATAATACTGTTCTTGTGTATTAGTAATTACACCCATCCTATACCCAGCTAATGCATACTCTCTTCCCATCATA